GTGTTACCCTCTGGTTCACATCATTCCTCTGCCTGTGCAGGGCTAACTCAGTCACCTGGAACCCTCACAAGATGATGGGCGTGCTGCTGCAGTGCTCTGCTGTTCTGATCAGAGAGGAGGTGAGTCTGTGTGGTCTGCATGTGAGCTTGTATTTMTTTAAACACTTATCTCTCTTTAACGTTCTGTCTCCTGCAGGGGCTTTTACAAGGCTGCAACTCCATGAGCGCGGGTTACCTCTTCCAGCCAGACAAACCATACGATGTGATGTATGACACTGGTGACAAAGCCATTCAGTGCGGACGCCATGTTGACATCTTTAAATTCTGGCTCATGTGGAAGGCAAAGGTGTGAGCTCATCTGCTGTTTTACGCTCTCTGCTTCTATTGTCCATGCGTTTGGTTGTAAAATTGTTTTTTTCATCTAACTAAAAGGGAACAGTAGGATTTGAACATCAAATCGACAAGTGCCTGGACCTGTCAGCATACCTGTATGAGAAAATAAAAAACAGAGAGGGCTTTGAGATGGTGTTCAACGGAGAGGTAAGACGATCTTTTCAWAAGTCCTAAATAGTGTTTTATTCAACTTAATTACATGAGTGATTGGTTCACTTTGCTTTGATGACACAGCAATTTTTTATCACGAGCACGTTACAAATGTTTTCTCTTATCAGCCGGAGCACACYAATGTCTGCTTTTGGTACATACCACCGAGCCTGCGCCACCTGCCTGATGGTGAGGAGAGACGCGAGAGACTGCACAAGGTGATGACTCATTCATTGGAGCATTAGGCCTCATTTCTACTTCCTCTCTTCTCTCACGCTGATTTATGCACCTTCGTTCACACTGCAGAAAACAACACACTCAAGTGCACTGCTGCGTTTAGAGGTGGGAGCAAATATTTGGTTTGTAATTCTGTTCAAATGTCTGCAACAGGTGGCCCCAAAGATCAAGGCGATGATGATGGAGGCGGGTACCACCATGGTGGGTTACCAGCCACAAGGGGATAAAGTCAATTTCTTCCGCATGGTCATCTCCAACCCTGCTGCCGGCAGGTCGGACATCGACTTCCTGGTCGAGGAGATTGAGCGGCTGGGCCAAGACTTGTAAAAATAATCTGTAAAGAGGGTGTTTTCCAACTTAAAAGGACAGTTCAAATCTTCTGAAGTAAGACACTGTGGAAAGGTTAAGATGAGTTATTTGACTTGCAGATGGCTCCTTTAACATCCTCACTTTGGAGAGATAGTTTAATTCTGACCAGCCTGACAGCTAGTCAGACAGAGGTTGAGCCTGAGCTGATAACTTAAAATAACTTCATTCTCAAAGACTTTACAAAWGCAAAAACTACAAACAGTTACTTTACGTGTTACAAGAAAAACGTTGTGATTCTTTGCAACCTCAAAAAGCAACAGTGATATGGCATTTCTTGCAGTACATGTTAATATAGAAAAGTCATGCAATGTAAAACTGAAATTAGTGAAAATGTTTAGAACAGTGTTTGCATAAATGCCTATAATTTTCTTTTAATTAGACATTGGAAACCACAGGAAGCCACTTTAGTCTTGGCCTTGTTCTGACTAGCTGTTATCTTTCTGATCAGAATTAAACTATTCGAAAAGCTATCTACAACAAGTAAGAAATTTATTGTTCATACCATTTTTACCACCTCAGAAGATCTGAACTATGAGCCTTTAGCTTGGCTTTCTGTTCCCTTTTRTCTCATGAAGGCATAAATTTTTTTGCCAACAGGTCTTTATGGCGATGCACAATGAATATTATTATCATTAAACCCTGCGTGCTTCTGTCTCCCTCAGTCCCTAGCAGCAGCGATGTATAATGAAAACATTGGCAAACCAGGATATCTTGGGAAAAGCAAAGACCAATCACATTCTTGTTTAAGAGTATGTGGGACTAAACCACATAATTTAAAGAGTTTGAACACATGATCCTGTTTATGTAGAGTAGATTTAAATCTGTTTCCAAAACAGTGGAGATGTTTGTGGACCAGTTAGAACAGCATGAAAAAGTAATCAAATTGAATTTCCCCGGTTAATAAAAGCCAGCAGAGAAATCAAAGATGTTATAATTTTCACAGCTTCTCTGAAAACAGACACAAATCTGTCCTGAATACCACAGAACTGCCACTTCTATTAAAAAATAATAAATGAAATAAAAGGTTTAAAAAGGATTTGGATGTAAAGCACTCACACTTTTTGGAAACAGGACAGCAGAGAGTATAGCCAGTGRCATTTAAATATGCTCCACACAATTACCCCCTAGTGTAAACACAAAACTGCATTAATATGAACACAGTATGTAATTCTAAGTATTTGTATGTTGATTATGGAAGAATCGCAGCACCGTTGCTGTTGTTTCCCTTAGATTTGCGGCTGAAGGCGGAACATTTAAAACAGTCTCTGTTAGTGACTGCCATGTTTTTAGACTTTTCTGTAGATTGTTGTAAACATTGTTASATTTTGTGTCAAATGTGTCCTAATTTTACAGTAAAATACTTCATGTGAATCAGCCGTTCAAAATTTATATTGAGAAATTATAATTGTGAATAGTTTCCTTGTTCTGCTTTTAATTTGTAACATTTTCTTTTCATTTTTTTTCTTTTTGGAAACTAACATTTTGAATACCAGTCATGATTTGTTTTGTTTTTTTGCTGTATTTGTGAACCAAAGAAGGCTTGAGTTACATTCATGGACTCAAATGTTTCTATAAAARAAGCTTGATTTGCTGCCTTTAACTTTAGTGCAATTGTGTAACTGTGCAATGATCAAATGTTGTTWAAACACTTTGCTCTGACACCGGCAGGCCAGCTGCTGCTGCTGTTCATTAAAGATAAAAAGCACATTTGTATATCATGTTAATGGGGCAGCTTTAATTCTTGGCACACCTGATTGTCTGAACCATGACGAGTAAAGTGGAGTGAAACCACAATATGCAAATGTTTGTTGGACACAACAAGCTTTCTATAGGCACATTTCAATGTTTAGAGGAAAATAAAAATATTAATCATTAAGCCTTTTGCTTGAACAGGAAAATGCACAGTATTGCAATTGTATTAAGATTTATGAAACAGTTGTATATTCCAGATTAGTTGGGATGAATTTATCCTATGTAGCGTTTATCATTGGCACCTTAATAGAGCTATAATCCTGCTGTAAAAATCTAATAAAGACAACATCTGCAGGCACAATTTCTTCATGCTGCTTTGGTTTTTAAATCACTTCACAACTAAATTATTTTTTTACTTTTTTTCTTTAAAATCTGTTTATCATTAATTAACTGAGTCGCTGAGCACTTTTCATAAAACCACACTTTCATTGTCCTGATGCATCTCAGTAATCCAGGTAAAAAATCAAAAGGGAAAAAAATTGTATAGGTCCWCTGGACGGGTTCTTCTTTAATGAAACGTTTCGTCTCTCTTCCAAGAGACTTCTTCAGTCTGAGAGTTTCAGGCAAAATTCAGGCTTTTAAGYMCTGCCTCCAGGTGACTGATACTCACATCACATGGCTATCGTTCAGGTGGAGGCCTCCGTTTTCAGTTGTCCCCCTCCTACAGTGCTGCCATTGGCAGTATCACTCCACCCCCTGTTAACAATAGGTGTTAATTAGGTGTGAACGATAGCCATGTGATGTGAGTATCAGTCACCTGGAGGCAGGACTCAAAAGCCTGAATTTTGCCTGAAACTCTCAGACTGAAGAAGTCTCTTGGAGGAGAGACGAAACGCTTCATTAAAGAAGAACCCGTCCAGAGGACCTATACAATTTGTTTTCCTTTTCACACTTTCATWGTTTACAYTGAATTTAGTACAATAAATCACTTTTGTTTTTCATTTAAAACATCTGCATCAGACTGGTAGAATTTTGTTACCAAGGAAGTCATGAGTACAATTCTCTTCCTGATACATTTCAAAAACACCTCTWGAACTTACAGGAGCTAGTTTGACCCACATAGTAAATAAAAACGGTTTTTCTACAACTTTTATTAAGTATTCTACTTTTGTTTAGTTCACACAATTGTTTTATTATCAAAGAAAGGTTTTAATTGAAGAKATACTGCTGTAGTCTATAATTGTTCTTTTTTTCTTTGACATTTTCTTAGTTAGAATATGTCTCAACTTGATTTTTCTGTACTCCAGTGTTTTATAGTAGATATGATTCATGACACTGTTGTTATTTGTCAGAGCTGATTCAGAAAACTGGAGAAGTTTCTGCTCATGGATGTGAAGAACCATGGATTTAACCTTATCACCAGTGGTAAGTCAGCAGGGCTTTTAGTTGTCCTGAAGAAAGTTTATACTGGTTGCTAGGTAACAGAACAAGCATTCAAAACACATGATGAAGACTTTTAGAAACTTGAACTTCTGGCATTAAAAATAAGTCTTATTATGATGACAGTCTAAACTGTGTGATATTTCTGAGCTGTTACTACAGAGAAACAAAGCATTTTGTTACATGTGAGCCATGCTAATTTTATAAAAAGGAAATGGGGCTTTTAGTTAAGTCACGTTTTCCTTCAGGTAGCAGTYGTGTTTTTGGATTTCTGAATCTGATTTTCACCTCTTTTTGTACGTGTGCCATTGAAAAAGACTTGTACAGTCAAAGAAGAACCTGAAGACCCTGATGGAGATGGTTCTGTCCAGAAGCTGCTTGTTGAGTCAATCAACACTCCAGTTAAACCTCACTGCAGCGACCAGAGTGAAGAATGTGTTGTAGCCTCAAGGGATTTAGAAGTACATAAACCCAAGCACACTGGTGAAAGAAAGTTCATCTGTACCAAGTGTGACAAGAGATTCATCACTTCAACCAATCTGAAGGTTCACCTTCATGTCCACGCTGGAGAGAAGCCTTATGCCTGTACCCAGTGTGAGAAGAGATTCACCCAGGCAGTACATCTGAAAACYCATCAGCGTGTCCACTCTAGATAAAAGCCCTTCTTTTGGTAGATATTCTGGTGGACTGAAAGATTTGTTTTACTGTGGACTTGAATGTCCATCAGAAATTTAAAATAAAGCATCTAAAAATGTTAGAGCTGTATGAAACATTTTTGTCTTGACAGAGAAATATTTTGTGAAAAGGTCACTCAACATATTCAAAAATATGAATTCACATTTAACTTAAAATTTACAATACACACACAAAGTACTAATGTATATTTTACTTTAAAAGTGTATATTTGCAGAGAGTGTTTATTCCAAGACCACTCAGAATTTCATGGACCACTCAGACGATTTTAATGAAATTCCTGAAAAATAATCATTAGATGTACATATCTGCAGCTGATTACCTTTTTGACGTCAACCTGATTCAAAATGACTGCCACAGCTTGCAAACGTCAAAAAACACAAAACAAATATCATTCAGTAAATGTTTAAGTTATTGAGCTAAATTTAGGGAAGATTGTGGCTGAGACTCACCCCCAACATATATTCTTAGGGCTAAAAGATGGCATGAAATTTGTCTGACTTAACCCTGTTTGTCTGTTAGCAAAATAACTCATACCACAACAAAAT